GCTGGGGTCGACTGGCTCCGATCTAGCTCGAAGCTCGACCACATCCTGTCTCGGCCGGACAACCGCGTGATGGAGGCGCTGAGGGAAGCACAGTCACGCGGTAAGTCTCTCAAGGCCTTCTTACTCGCCGTGAACCTCCAGGTGCCGGGGAGGGAGCACCACAGCGCTGTCTTCTACTTCTCCACGCGCGACGACGCGCCGCTCGATCCCGGATCCCTTCTCTACAAGTTTGTCAACGGCGACGACGCCTACCGGAACTGCCGTTTCAAGATCGTGAACCGGATCGTGAAGGGGCCGTGGATCGTGAAAGCCGCCGTCGGGAACTACTCCGCCTGCATCCTCGGAAAAGCCCTAAATTGCCACTACCACAGAGGGCCGAATTACTTGGAGATCGACGTCGACATCAGTAGCTCGGCCATAGCCAACGCGATTCTCCACATAGCCTTGGGCTGCGTCAGATCTGTAACGATTGATATGGGCTTTCTCGTGGAATCGCAATCGGAGGATGAGCTGCCGGAAAAGCTATTCGGAGCCGTCAGGATATGTCAGATGGAGATGAGCTCCGCCGCGTACGCCGATACGACGTCGTCTGCGAAGGTGTTGCCCGCCCCCCATTTCCAGAACATTAGGCGCGTGCAGGCCGAAGATGACGGCGAAATCGAGACGAATAATTGCGGGTAAAGTGCTGTGAATTTTTTACTTTCACTGTCTCTGTAACTTTTACTTTCACCGTCTCTGAACTGAAGAGTAACCATGGTTAAGATTATTACCAAATCTAACCGCTCAATGGTTTGCCGAATTGCCGGTTGGTCATCTCTTTTGTAGATAACCTTTTCTAATTGCACACAAGTGGTAGCAGTACTCATTCGCCGAATATAAACACTAATTTTATTGGAAAATTTCCCCCCAATACTTTTGGTCTATTATTCAAAACTCTCTCGGTTGTATTGCATTTGTTTAGTTTGAATTTTTTATTCAAATAAGATAAATTTTGAGTTTCAATTAAAAAAATGTAATGTGTATTAGTATAATAATGATTCTATTAGATTTAATTATTAGTTTTCAAAATTTTATTTCATTATACTACTCTATTATTTTAATATATATTTAAAGTAATTAAAACTTAAAATTTATCCGGTTTGACTAAAAAAATAAACTGTATTAAAGCCTAATATTTATCTAGTTTGACTAAAAAAATAAAACTTGGGAAATATATTATGACAGATGTAATATTATTTGTCAATTTTATTTTGTACCTCAATACTTTGAGAAACCATTATATTTTACATTAGTCAATTGTGTAATGGAGAATTTACTTAAATACCACTAAGACATAATACTAAGACATAATGGCTTTGTTCAAATAGTATCATATGTGTTTTTTCTCAATAGAGTATTTTTAGTCATTATCTATTAGTCATTTTTTAAGTAAATGTTTGTCATCACTGCACATTAATCCTCTTTCTGGAGATTATTAAAGATTATTTAGAGAATAAAATAGTTTAAGTGCTACTTAGGGAAATGATTTAAGTTTTAATGTTATTTAGTCCAAATATTTCTTGTATAATTGGTCTTTTATAACCAAGATTTTTTATATTTAGTTTTTTGTTATCAAATTTCACGTCCATGACCTTCTTTATGGTACATTTTTAGAGATAGTTTTTTGACCTTATACAATGTTAGTGTTAAATTAAGGGATAAAAGTGTAATAGTAATATTAACCTTATATCCACTTATGTGTTTTGATGTTGATTTGATGGGCAATACAATAGTAGAAACTATAACGGTGGACTAGGAATTTTGTTAAGGCGCGGCATTTGTAAACTATGATTATAGTGGAAAACGTCTTCAGTTAACAAATAACACGTCAGCAATGAAATTTGACATTTGCTATAGCAAGAAAGGCATATGGTTGATGCGATAGGAGTATACAGTTATGAAAATACTAAAATAAAAATTTTAAGGAGATCGTAGAATCACCGAAGGATTCAGCAACCTGTCTTCTTCTTGCTTCATTTCTCTATATAAGGAGACCAACTTCCCATTTCTGCATCAAATCCTTCCTTTTCTTCTTCCATTTCGTCCTTAAGAGTGTGGAGAGTAGAGTGGTGCTGTCTAGAGAGTTGGAGGTTGCCGGAGTTGGGAGTAATCATCGCCGGAAGTTTCGCCGGAAAATTCTCAAAACCTTCGATAAGTTTCGAGGTAAGCCCGTAGATATATCTAGTGACTAGAATGTTCGTATAGATCGTTTCTACGTTCATAAACGGTTGTTTGGTTGGGTTTTGTATTTGACATGTTTGAACAACCAAAAATCATAAACCATGAAATTGTTGTTAAAATTAGGAATTAATGACTCTAAAATGATCTGTGAACATTGGAGAACATTTTTATATAATTAAATTAAAGTTTGGTGATTAAAAATGATAATGTTAAAACTGACCCGAGGAAGAAGATGATGAATAGTGGCCGAAAATCGATTATTTACTTACTAAAAATCGATTAGAATTTTATTCAGAATAGTGGTTCGAAGCCAGTACCATTTAATCGATTATTTATATTGTAAAAAATCGATTATTAATTTATTTAAATGCTTTATATAAATGTATGCATGCGAATACCAATTTAGCAACAACCCGGTTCGCTAACCTGCTGGTTCGGATTTCGCGGTTGGGGTGTTACAAAAAATTTTCATATTCTAAATTAAGTTTGGAAAATCCTATTTTTCCACTTTTCAACTATAAATCAATATTTTTATCATTTTCAAGTTAAATATAATGTTTCAGTTTATTTTAATACATTATTTGATGCATGACGGTAAGCTAGGATGTTAGCTTTCGATGTTAGGCTGCTGCTTGTCATTTGACTATTATGATGCTGATTATTATCTATTAGTTATGATGATTGACCTTTGATTAAATATTAGTATAATGAATACCCTAATTAAATTGTGATTATAAATGATTAAGGCTATTTAGAAGAGCTCTAATATAGACTCCATGTGACTAAATTAGTTAGGCTTTGTGAATATGATATCGATCTAGTGGCCCGGGTTAAAATGTACATACTAGATCCAGAAATCAAACTTCAGGATCACTCGTTTGGGGTACCTCCCAGTTCAACGGTGAGCAGACTGTTGTTCAATTTCTTAGCGTGACGTATAAGACCCATAGAATAGGTCATGATTTTGTGTTCTGCCTTAAACTAATTATAATTTAAAAGCCTTGTTATCAATATAAATTAGCCTTAGACTAAGAATAATTTAAGAGCACTTATGATTTGGCCATAGCCTAGAATAGGTTAAGAATAATTATTTAAAGAAATCACCCTATATTGTTGGTCTTGAATGCCGTACCCCGTAACTGTTTTGATGTGCCAAATAAGTCTTCAAATGTTACTAACGTGATTTGCAGGAAGAAACAAAACGCCAAATCTCTCCAACTTGATTAGCATCACCGAGATGTACTCTTACGGGTTTTGAAACATTTGTGTATAAGTAGTGATATATATTTAATGATATACTTATGCCCTTTCACTCAAAATTTTATTTCTAAAATGTCAAACATATTCTTAGTTGTGGTTATTCTGAAAGAGGAACACAAAAAATCAAGTTTTGGAAAATATCACAGGTCAGACGGTACCTGACTACCGTGTAAACGGTACCTAGGTACCGGCGGCAGCCAAGTGACCGTACTGTGGTACGTTTCACTTGGAGTGACACGGTACCCCCTACCATGCTAACGGTACCTAGGTACCGCCGGTGGGCTATGGGACGAAGGACGCGACCGTTTGACCCTAAGTTCCGCCAGAGCTGCTGAGAATTTTTGAACTACACGGTACCTATTGACGATAGGTTGTACTATGGTCACGGTATCTAGGTACTAGACGGTACCACCCCTACCGTGAAGGGTACCGTGACCATTGGCGGTTCCTGTAGCTGATTTTCAATTCAAATTTAAATTACTCCCAATCAATCCCCAACGGTCCTAAACATAAAAAAATCAATTTTAACTCTTCCAACTCCTATATAAACCCCCTTGAAGTCTCATTTACTATACAATAACATCCCTACTTAAGCTTTGTTCTTATTTTTCTTACTTTTTTGAGTATAAAGATTTCATTATTTCTATACACACACACAAGGGCTTTTTTATTAACTAGTTTTCTAACCCGTGCCACGCACGGGTCGAACAAATATTTTTTTATTCTATACTATTTTCTTCAATAATACTGATTAAGAAATTAAAAAAAATCTAAAAGTGCCACCAAAACTTAAACGAAAGATATAATAAGTAACATGTGCTAATGAAAATTGGTTTAGAGTCTATTTGGTAGATGAAATTAAATTTGAAATGCAGCACATGACCATTAACTATAAGAAAAATTAATATCATTTAACACAATTATCACGTGTTATAATCAATGCTATGAAATTGTATGTTTTACTAATTCCATTTTTATATAAAAAAATATTTTAAGTTCAAAAAGTTAGTGTATAAAAATCTTTGAATTTGCATAATCACTTCTTGCATAGCTCTTGGTATCGACCATGAAACAATAAAAATCTTGAATTTCAATTTTACTAACATGTAATCCCCTATAATAAGCAAATAGTGTTTGAGTAACAAAAGAAGCTTTTCTCTATACAGTACTCCCCCCCCCCCTCTGTTTACTCATCCCTAATACATCCTTGATATGCCAAATTAGACAGTTCCCACTTTTCTATGAGTAATAGTGGTTGCAGCATCATATCGAGCTTTGGCCGCTACAGCATGTTATTATGGGAGCCGACTCCCTCAGTGTGCATAATCGCTGGGTTCCTTCATTCCTGCTCAGATCATAAAGATATGGTTGGTATCAATGGTGATGGCAACATCTTGTGCATCTTGAAAATTTTTAAAATTTTAAAATTTTTATAATTTTAAAATTTTTAAAATTTTTAAATTCCTTTTCTTTTAATTAAAATAGAATGTCAAAACACTAAAGAAAAAGGAATTTGAAAATGACTAACCTCTGCTTCATTCTCGATTGTCAAACGGTACAGAAATTCTTCCATGCTCCCTAGTCATGGAGATAAATACTGAATTTTATTTAAAATACAAATTTAGATCAAATAAATATATAAAAGATAAACATTGAAGAAAGACAAACGGTACAGGTGTGACTACCCTCTCTTTCATTCTTGATTGCCAAACCGTGAAAAGCCTTTTCAATGTTCCTCACTCATGGAGACATTTACCAAATTATTTTTAAAAAATAAAGTTATATCAAATAAATATAAAAGATAAATATAGACAAAAGTTACCTAATATGTTCCCTGATTTTGTTGTCCAGTTTGTGCGCTCTAGGTATTGCCTAGAAATTGTCACAGCAGCTTGCCATGTCGTGCACTAATTTTTTCAGTGTCGTCTCGCTGGAGCCTATTCCAACTGATTCCAAAGCTAAATCCTGTTCCCATAGTTTCAACTTTATGTCGGATTTGGGGGTCTCTCTGATCTTTGTTAAAAGAGAAGATACTTCGATTATAATGATGATGATCTCAATTTCTAACAAAAATGAAGCCATTCAATTTATTAAATCACCAACTATAAGAATACAAACTATGCTGAGATAGAAAAAATCAGTGGAGGGGAAAAACAAATTCAGATTCAAAATCCTACAATTGAGCCACAACCTTGCATGTCCAATACAGGTCTATAATTAGCAATAAGCACAAATGTGGAAATAATAACTTAAAAGCACCAAGACCTTCAAGAAGGAATGTATAGAACAAAGGAAAAAATATGAATACACAAACCTTAATCAGCAACAAAACATGATAGCACATTTGCACACATACCAAAAACACCCTACGAATATGCTGCTTGGATGGAGAGTCATCTAAGGTCATGGATCGTGTTAACTAACAAAAAAACATAGAAGTATTTTATGATTTTCTAACCTTTATCTCGACATGGGGTGTTTCTCATATACTCAAATTGGCATAAGATGCATATGTACTTGTCTTATAAACTTCAGGTTGGCGTGGACTATTGATAGCCGTATTATTGTTTCTTGTGCTCTAGATGTGATTAGAAGTGTTCCTCTTCTAGTCTATCAAATAAAGAGTGCATCAGAATTAGTTATTATGAAAAGTTCTTTTATTCAATCCACCAACCTCCAGGTTTACCAGAATCGTCAATACAAAAAATACCTCTATAAGCAAGAATCAATGGCACCAACCTCTAGTCTTCTTACTCCAGTTCAAACTAAAAAATAATGTCAAATTTCAGTAAATGGAAATTTGTATTAAGTTCTAGAAATGATATGGTTCATGGTGAGAGACTGAATATGACATCCCCAAAGCTTACCTTCTTCAGATAGGCAATGATTCCTCTAGTTCAACCGGCAAATATTTCTAAAATCTTTTATCTACTCAGTAAATTACTCATGAAAACTGAAATTTGAAACCATTGCACGTTTTCAACAAAATGCTCATAAATAAAATTATCATCATTGAGTGTTATGTATGCTAAAATGAATAGTATAAGAGAAAGAAGCTCACATACACATTTAATTGTTAAACAGCAACTCCAGCTTCCTCCACTCTAGGCACTGTCAAAAACTCAAATCTTTTGCTTCTTCCAGATTTCTTGTCAAATATAACCTGAATTTTTTTAAAAATCACATTAACACTTCTTGAATTTAATCCATAGGATAACTGTAGCAACTATCCGTAGATAAAAAAAACTATCAGAGAAAAATATAGATCTGAATCGAGCAAATTAAGGGTGAGAATCGGCCTTTCAAAAAAGGGTGTGGATTGGCTCAAGAATTTCGTATCACAATTCTCTCTAAGTCTGATTTGGGATTTTCAATCCGATGAGGAAGAGTATCAATTAGGAATGAAATCAGAATGAAGATCGGGCGAAGAGATACGAATCTCAATTTTGGTGGCGGAAGAAGATTCTTTCAATGAAATCATCGATGGGTCAATGGGGCTATAAGGGAGAGACGCGTGGAGGCTTACTTGTCAAACAATTAGGACTCTAAAATTGCCACATGTCAAAATTCTAAGCTATCAACTCTCAAATATTATATTAAAGGATTATTTTATATCTTGCCTATAGGCTTTTGTTGTTGTTGATTTAATGTTCCGTTCTTCTCCTACCCACCTCATTTTGATTATTATTTGGTAGAAAAGTAACAACAATTTTTATTATTTTTGTTAAAGTGTGGATAGCCTTTAAATCCTCATTGTAAAAGGTTGAAGATAGCCTATAAATCTTCTGTTTGTAATCGGTCGAGATAGCCATTGTAAAATCTCATTTGCTTATTAGAAAGAGTTGTTTGCCAAACCTTGTTTGAGTCTTCTTAGTGAAGCCAAACAATTCACTGGAGGTTAAATCCTTGGGGAAGAGCCTCAAGGTACTGGAGTAGGGAGTTCCCGGATCAGTATAAAATTGATTATGTCGTACTTTTCTCTTTTATACTTTTCTTGCTCTTTTTCCGCTACTACTTTGGACTTAAGTTTTTATTTTACAAAAAACTTTCTGACACCCTAATTCCCCCCCTCTTAAGGTGGAACCGACTTTCATATATACAACCATTAACTATTAAAAAATAGTGAAATTTGCACTAAATAAGACTAAAACATAAGTCATTTTCTAATGTAGGACTTAAACTTTTTTATTTCCTAAATAGGACTTAATAATGTCTAGTGGGAGAAATAATGTCTAGTAATGATGAATATTTATCTGAATAATGACTAATTAATAATGACCAAAGGTCCTACATTAAGAAATAAAAACATATGGTCCTATAATGGAAAAGTCATTATATATGTTTTAGTCCTATTTAGGTAAATTTTCTCTAAAAAAATACCTATATAGCACTCTATGTCCTTTTTGACTTTTATAGCGTTCTCCATTGTGCAACCATTTATATTATTCCACATCTATCCTTTTTTCTTTCTATGTAAATATTAAACGGTCTAAGTTTATTAATTTCTTCAATAGATCTCATTGGAAATCAATAATTATTTTTTACTTCTTTAGTTTTAATTTTGAATTTTTTCAAATTAAGTTTTATTTCTTAAGATTTCTTCAAATTGAGAAATTTGAGTTTCTTCTTTGAAATAAGATGTTAATTTCTATGGCGGTGGAGGTGGCAGTGGTGGTGGCCTTGTGGAGGCGGCGGCGGTGGTGGCCTTGTGGAGGCGGCGGTGGTGGTGATGAATGTGTGGCTGTGGTGGCTGTGATAGTGGTGGTGATGATGGTAGTGTGGTGCTTACAGTTGAAGCGTAGCAACAAGGGTTACATTGTGACAGTGAAAGCGTGGATACTAAATAGGCAGTGTGGAGGGAATGGTGGCTGTGTGACTGGGGTGTGGTGATCATGACGACAACGAGGTAAGGAAATGACAATTTCACGAGATAGTGACCATGAGGTGGCAGGGTTGGAAGTATGGTGAGGCAGTGACTGTGTGGTGGTGGTGGTGGTGGTGATGATGGTAGTGGTGACACAGTGATGATGGATCATAAAAATTTGATATTTCAAAACTATAATTTTAGACGAACTCGATTACATTAATTTAGTTTATAATTACATAAATGTTTTTCATAATTTGATGTAACAATTGTCAGTATTGATAAAAAAAGTCAAAACATAAAGACTTTCATGAAACAGTAGTATTTATTTATATAAACAATGCAACAACACATTAGTTTTCCTCTTAGCGTTCCTTACATTACTTTAGTGGTTCCTCACACTTTCTGCTCAATTTTTTAATGGCAGGTCTCACATGTAATAAATTTATTTTATCTACATAATATTGAATATAATAAATCAAAATAATTTATTTTTAAAGAAAATAACTTAAATTTACGGGGTATACATTTTTTAGTTAAAAAATATACTTCGTCCATCCCACAAAAAATCCTACTATTATTAAAAGAAATAATCTTTTTTTCTTTTTTCTCTCTTTTATTTCCCAAATGCGAGAGAAAAAGCTCAATGAAATAGAAATATGCACTTGTCGGGAGCCAAATCCCGAGTTTATTCTTATTACTAATTACTTTTCTTATTTGGAATCAATTTCGTTGAGATCAAATCAGATTAGAAATAGTTTTAAATATAAATATATATTCAAATCAATTCAGATTAAAACTTATTCTAATCAAATTTGAATCATTCATAGATGAGGCCTATGCATGAGTCCCAAACCCTACAAATTCACTCTCTCTGATTCAGCTTCACACACTTCCCTTTCCCCCTCCTCCACCACATAAATGGGCAAAAAACTAAAAAATAAATAAATAATTAAAAATGAAATAAAAATATGTAGTAGAGAGGGGGGTTGAGGACAAATGGGGTACCTCTACCATTACTCATAAAAGAATTGCCCTGAGATGCTTCGAAGATTCATTACTCTTCTCCTCGCACTCTATTCGTTTCTTCTCATTAATCAATTGATTCCTTATTTGTTCCTCGATTTGTTTGGAGAATTCATAGGGCATTCGAAATTGGCAGATGAACAGGTTTTGATTGTCCCCATGAGTAATTTTGTTTTGGGTGTGCTCTTAAATTTGGTTAAAATTGGACTAAATCACAAGTTTTGACACTAATTGCATTAATGGAAACTAACAACTTACAACAAATCCAAAGAATTCAAAGAATTTCTGCAAAACCTCAGAAAAAGAACCCATATGGAGTTCATGTTGCAAAACCTAAAACCTAAAAAAACCAGGAAAAGGAATTTACAGAATTGTTCATGTGGCAATTCATGATTTCAGACACCCATTCCAAAATTAAATAAAAAATTCCGGCAATCAAGCAACTCTTCTCCGGCAAACTGGGCACGTCCTGTTCCTGCGCAGCCACCCGGCGATGCAGCGGCTGTGGAACACATGGCCGCACGGCGGCGGCAGGGTAGTAACCACCGACGACCCGCGGCGGAACTCGTCCAGGCAGATACTGCAGACCTCCTCCTCCGCCCCGGCAAACGGCCCTCTTTTCAGGGAACATATTTCGCGCTCGGACATCCCTTCTCCGCCTCCTCCTCTTGCAGTAGGGAAACGGGCGGCGGCGTTGAGAATGAGGCCGCCGTCGACAAACTCAGCCTCTAGCTGCGACGGCGGCGGCTGGCTTCGTGCCATTGCCCCTCCTCCTCCTCCTCTTTGTGTGGCCGTTGATAATGAGTCCGCCGTCGAGAAACTCAGCCCGGTGCGGTGGTGGCGGGATTTGTCTCCGTAGCGCGTGAACAACCTCTATCTGAGCCATCAACAGCAACCCGGGGCCGCGCGCGTGGAGAGCAGAGCGCGCCATAGCGGCGGCGAGTGGGGCACACTCGAGGCCGAGATTTTCGGCCAATTTGTTAGAGAAGAAGGCAAAAGCTTGTACCTCGGAAGACAAAACTGAGGCGGGATCGAATCTGAGATTCACGCGGGATTCGCCAAGCGCGGCGGAGGCGATACTGTACCTCGCCTTAACGATTGCTTTCACGAAGATTAGCCCGAAGCTTGGATCGGCTGAAGAAAAGCATTTGATGTCTGTGATTCGCGCGGTGGTCGCCGCCATTTTTTCCGGCTTTCATTCGCTCATCGAATTTTGTACTCCACAGAGCGGCGCATAGTCCTCTTATATATAGCTTATTTCTTACGCGGTGGATTTCAAACAGAGATTAGGAAACTTGATTGAAATTCAAAAAGTAGTCGTTATTGGATCTAGTGGATTCAAACATTTGGAAACAAGATTTTTTTTCAAAAAACAAAAAAAAACAAAAAAATGGCATCCCATGTAGTGAATTCAAATGCGCGGCGCGCATATATTTTAGCGCTACAACACTCAAAAAAAAGTTGTGCTAGTTTCTCTAAAAATTAATTTTCTTTTTCAGTTTACGAACTCCAATCGAAATTATTTTTAATTTATTTATTTGTTTATATATATATATATATATATATATATATATATATATATATATAAAATACTAAAATAAAAAGTCGGAGCATATTTTAAATTTCTGTTCTTTTGGGTTGAAATTTAGAATTAGGTGTCAGAAGAAATTGGATGATTAAATTTTTAAAAAGTTACTCAGTTAAATAATCAACCAAATAAATATACTCTCTTCGTCCCAAATTTGATTATACATTGGAATTTATCACGTAAAATCTTGTATTTTCTGAAATCATTTTATTTATAAATTTTTACATCAAAAAAATAAAAATTACATATAAAAAAACTACATCAAAAGTTTTACAAAATAAGAGATGACAAAAATATTTTATTTTATCAAATAATAATGAAAACACGCAAATAAATAAAAGTTATCGAAAGGAGTGAGAAAAATATTAATCAAATTCGTGAGACATGGAGTATAAAAAACTTTTTTAAGTCATTGTTGGAAGACACTGAAAGAATTTTAAAAAACTAGGAGTGAAGTACGAAGCTAATTTTTTCCAAATCAAAAGAATAAGACCTAACTATATCAACATTTTATATTTTCTATAAAAGTAAGGGTTACATGACTATATTCCTTCCATCAAAAAATTTCTTTCCCAGTTTGATTTGACGCGGAGATTAAGAAACAGTTAAAAGTGTAAAGAATGTTCATGTTTTGCTCTGATGTGATGGAAAAAAGTGAATAGTGTAAATAAAAAGTAGGAGTTTAATCAAACATGTATTAAAATTTTATTGCCAAAATAAGGAACATGAATGAAAGTTTTGGACGATCCAAGAAGGAAAGTGAGAAAGAAATTATTGGACGGAGAGAGCATTACTTTATCAAATGACTACTAAAAATAAACAAAGAAATTAAATAAACATTGACCATGTGGATAGTAATGTAACACACCTGAAACCGGTCTAGAAGTTAATCAATAACTAAATAAATAAGAATGATTTATTTACGATAATCTATTCTTTTAAAGAATTAAAAAAACACTTAGGAGATTCTAATCGTCTCACTATAACATGACTGATCTGATTATATTTATAGAGATCTAAATTAAAAGACTAATCCCTATTAATTGATTGAAAGAATTATGACGGACAAGGTGAGCATATAACTGCTTGTCAATTGATTACAAAAGTTATATCGTTACGTAAGGGTCGACGAATCGAATCCAACGATGCGCACAGATCTCAATTCAGAGTAAGTTGGGCCGAAAAGCATGTTTTTACTCAGACAGTTTTTAAATCATAGAGTACAGAACATTTTTTCTCGTTTTACGCGACTGTATTCCGGATCCTGTCTTCTTCTTCGATCGGGACGGTGGCACAAACTATAAATCTCGACGACCACTTCTAGCGACGAGCTCAGGAAGACGCGAGGCGATGACGACGATGAGGGTTGGCGGGTTATGTCAGTCCATAGGCATCCACGATTGACGATGACAACACGACGCTAGTGTCCACAACGATAGCATGAACCCAATCCAGCGACGAGGAACCAGTAGATTTCTCCGTCGACCTCCGAGCCACGGCGGTTAGATTCTAGCAGCAATTTTTACCTTCGGGCTGTGGCGGGACTGACTGGGCAATGGAGGGTGAACTCTGCTGGTCCAAGCAGCGGTGAATGACCTTCGGGCAGCGATGTTTGACTCCGGATAGCAACTCCGACGAACTCGGGTTGACAACCATTGACTTGTGGTGGTGATGGCAGCGTCTCGGCGACAAACTGATGATCGAATTAAAGTATTAACTTGGTAATCGTAAAATTTAAAACTTTTCAAACACTTTTATTTATCACAATAATAAAATTTCATAACATAAACAGTACAGAGTTTAATATTGTGGAAGCTTAATAATCATAATCACAAACATAATTGATTTATGTTTTTCAATTCAAAACCATCACATCCATTCTGACAATCTCGCCTCCGTCTGCCTCCAGGATCACGTCACTTCATTCTTTCTAGTTACCTGTGTGTGGCAAATAAAACATACTATATGCTCAGCGTTGAAGCTGAGTAAGCATATCTAATGCGTCGAACATCCATATAAACTGAGTCTAAATTCATAATCAAATCATTTGATATCATGCACATAATGTTTAGTTCAGATATTCAATAATCATTAGTCAATATTCATCATTCATTATTCAACATTTATATTCATATTCGACGTTCATTGGTTATTCATAATATTCACAATATTCAATTCAATAATCATCATTCATACTCAATATTCAACATAATGATGATGATCACGAAATCAGTGTGTTGTTAAGGCTATCTCGAAGACCTCTAAGATAGACCTCAAATTAGATTGGGCCTTGCGGGTGTAAATATGTATATTCGGTGGCCTTGGGTAAAAACGTACGTACGGGATCCATAAACCAAACTAGAGGAACTCGTTCGGGGATACCACCCAACCCGACAGTTAGTATTCTGCGGTTCGGTTTTCTGGACTTGTACCTTAAGCGAAGGCTAATTTAAGAGTTGGTAAATTAATCGGAAAATATGCACCTTAAACTAAGGACCTAGCTTAAGAGTTGGTTACAAGTACCTTAAACTAGAATGAAGTTTAAGAGTTAGTAAATATCACAAAGATTGGCCTTAGACTAAACATAGTTTAAGGATATTGTGGATTATTGAAATATTGAAATAAAAATATTGAGAATATCATGAATGACTTATATAATGTGTGCATGATATCAAATGATTGTTTGTGAATTGAGATTCAATTTATGTGAATGTTCGACGCTTTAGATTTGCTTACTCAGCTTCACCGTTGAGCGTGTAGTGTGTTTTATTTGCTACACGCAGGTAGGCAGAATGAGTGATTGGCTTGATCCTGGCAGCGGAAGGGGCGAGACTGTCGTGGTGGAAATTGTGATTTTTAAATGAATAATTGTGTTGTTATTAAATATGTTAAAACTGCTTCCGCACTATTATTAAACACTCCGTATTTTGCTACAGTTATGTATTTAATAATATTTATGATGAATAAAATAATTTAAAATGTTTTAAATTTTACGATTTCCAAGTTAATTCTTTAGTCCGAAAAGGGCTGAAAACCTGGACGGATTAGGGTGTTACACTTCTAGATATCCTTAACAATACATATTATTTTTCATAATCATCAATATATTCATTATGATTTAATCATTCACCATTATCATTTTTAATCGGAATATTTATCAAGATTTAATGATCATAATCATTAATCAATAATCATTACCATAATCATCAATCAAGATAACATTCAAAGTAAGATCAGTTAGCGGTCTAGCTTCGAGTGTTAACACCCTAGCTTATCGTCATGCATCAGGTAAGGTCTTTTTAATTGTCAAAACATCATTTTTATTCCAAGAAATCATCTTTATATTAATCATAATTATTGGTATCAAAAATAGGATTTTTGGGTTCAAAAAGAACATTTTTAGAAGTATTTTCGAAGCGGACAGGTCGGGGATCGATCCAGCACTTTGGATCGATCCTCTGTAGAGAAAATACTCATTTGGATCGATCCAAGAGGTATGGTCATTCCTCCCTGTGTGTTTTTAGCCACTGTTCATCGTCTTCTTTGTTACGAGTCCAATTTCGGAAATACCATTTTTAGTCATCGAACTTCAACGAAACTATATAGAGATGTTCTCCAAGGTTCATAGATCATTTTGGCATCATTAATTCATAGTTTTAACATCAATTTCATGGTTTATGATTCTTGGTTCTTCAAGCATGTCAAACACAAAACTCAACCAAACGAGCATTTATGAACGTAGAAACGATCTATACGAACATTCTAATCATTAGATATATCTACGGGCTTACCTCGGAGGTAAATGAAGGTTTTGAAGATTTTCCGGCGAAACTTTCGCGAGGATTGTGGCGATCTCCGGAGACGAGAAGCTCTCTTGACAGCACTACTTCACTCTCTACACTCTCAGCTATCTCTTGGAAGAAGATTGGTGAAAAATGGTGGAGTTTGGAGGGGTTTATATAGTAGAGAGGAGAGGAAGAAGACATAAGTTTATGACCTCCATTTCCCTGTTTTGGCGTCTCAGTGGAGCGGACGGCCTATCTCTACGATTTTAAAAGCAAGTCCCTGATTGGGACTAATTTGGTCCCAGTCGGGGAACACTTTTTGGTCACACTTTCTCCAAATTGAAATCCGTTTGCACTGTTGCGATCGGACAGTTAAACTCTATTCAACGATATAATTTTTATATTTATTTGTAATACTTTTTCTGTCATCATATTTTTGGGTGTTTGACTTTGACAGAGTCAAAATTGGTTTTATTGACCTTTACTGTAAAAAGGGTTCTTTAATTTAATTCATTTTATTTATTGTCATGATTTATCTCAATAAATCATTTCAAAGTTTTCATCACAAATAAAATCTTCATTTATTCTTAATTTGGGTCTGTACTCAGGTTTCCAAACTAGATCACACAATAAGTCAATCATGTTGGGTTTATCTTTATGAGATTTATCCCAATTATGATATTGGATATCAACACGTATTTTATTTCAGCCAAAGCCCAACATGTTAGACAAGATAATTTAATAGAGTTGTTGAGAATGTTTACCTATTTTCGCAGGATTAATAATATAAACGTAAGTGCAGTGGAAATAAAAGAGAGAAGGCAAAGAACACACCGATGTATACTGGTTCACCACCTCGTGGCTAGTCTAAAGAGTAGAAATGAGAAAATGTTTAGCTTTATGGATGACAAGAAACC